CATCAATTGTTGCGCTTTGGGCGTTGTGGGCTTATATCTGTCTTTTTCATTGGAAAGAGGGATTGTTGCGTTGAAGTTCATAACATTCCCTGTTGCCATTTTTCAAGAGTTCCCTAGCTTTCCCGCCTCCATAACCAAGCCCCCATTCCCAACCATTCCCAACCATTCGACTGGATCCATCTTGTCAACAAAGGTATACGCACTTTCACCGCTTTGTCCGAACCTGGAGACATCTCATTTTTTTACAGAATGGCGCCGAAACTATTTCGCACAACCGCCTCCTCCGGACAGCCCGGAAGTTGCCATCAGTCAGCCTCGTCTCTTAGAGCTACAGCGTTGTCCCCACACCTCCCCCCCCATATTTCTCATACAATTCTTCTAATATCTTATCATGGGAACAAGAAGCCATGCCAACACGAAACCAACCAGAGGAACGCAACTTAAAGAAATGAAAAAGGACGAAGAAAATGCACAAGGGGGATGGTGTTTCCCATACCCGAATGTTGTCTTGATACTCCTGACATAATAGTCTCCGAAGTTTCTCCTAGTGACATCTTCCTGGCCGACGGGAACACCATCCCAACTGAGCCTTAACATGGTGGAATCTGTGCCTTGGTCGAACACAAGGGTAAGGGTTGAGTAGTGACCTATTGAGCACGCCGATGAGCATAACGGCAAAGAGGGAGCATACACAACCGTTTCGCACTTCCATCTATAGATGACAACGAAAAGGTCACAATGTCGGTAGAGTCCAGGGCTTACCTTTTGGCCAGTCGGCCAATCTCCATGTTTGGACGATCTTCTTATCTTGATCCAGTTGTTTAAATTTGCCCTCAACGTTCCTACCGAACAGACTAAATTTACCTCCCTCCCTTGGCTCAAATTCCGGCGGTGGTGCCCGAGTAAACGCGGCTACTCGTTGAGGGTCAACAAAAGTTTGGTAGAGTTGATTAGCCGAAGTTTGGAATTCGATATCATCCTTTAAAGTCACCGTGTTGACTATTGGCCCAGTCTCCGTCTGGCTGGGCTCTGTTTTCGAGGAAGCGGCGTGAGATGTCGATGAAGAGATTGGGACAGGCTTGGGCGTAGAAGTGCCGGAAGCAGGCCCAGAGCCTGAGGCGTGTTGGATATCTTTACCATGTTCAGCGATAAGATCACCGGAAAAACCAGCTAGGGCCTTGCGGAGTTGAGGGACGATATCGTTGCGCACTAAATCACGGACAGCTTGCTTCTCCTTGTTGTCCGAGTAAACACTGATCTCAAACTATTTGAGTGATTAGATGGTGTATCATGTAGTGGCCTTGGGCCGGAGACATACCACATATTCATCCTCTTCGGTATCATGGGCAACTTCCGGAATTGTAATACTCCCTGTGACCTTTTCACCTTCGGCCGCGACACCTGTTTACTCGTGTGGGTGAGTTTTTCGCCGTCGACGATGCAACTAGAGTATAATTCAATTGTACTCACCGGAGAATTCTAGGCGGACCTTGACATCGAATAAGGTAATGACTTTCCCTTTCCTCTGGGAAACGTCACAATCACCCTCAACACTCAGAACTTTGTCAATCTGGGCAGATACTTCTCCTTTGCTCGCAGAAAGTCCGGTGAGCTTTTCGGAGAAATATGCCTGAGCCCATTCGATCGCGTTCTTGTTGACCCAGTGCCAATTGTTGGGGTTGTGGAGAACCATCTTTGTCACTGAGGAAGGAGGTTTAAAGGAATATGGTATGGATGGATAGGAGTGCGACTACTTTAAAACCTGAGGGAGTTAGTTCAAGTGATTTCCCAGGAATAATGAAAACCCTGTGGCAACTACTTGATCTCGGAACGGGGTGTTCTGGGGGTTCTGGCATGGGGTGAAGGTTGGGACAACGGAGATAGCCGAGACCCGGAATAGCAGGGGTTTTTGGGATACAGACCTGAGTGAAATGACAATGAGTAGGTGTTGTAAAGAGAATGGTGAGATTGTATTGAAGGAGGTGGACTTTGGTAGGGAGATGAGAGAAGGTTGAGTTGAGTAAACGTTTATAGAGCACCCTGAGGGAGGAGAAGGCTCCTGGCGGTGTAGTCTAAAATAACAGGGGAACTGGAATCGTCTAGAAGAAAAGTCAAGGGAAGACAGCTTCGTGCCTGTCAAACCTCGAGAAACCCCGCTGATCTAATCTAATCTAAGACTCTGATAATCTTATCTTAGGAATCAGTTAGCCCTAACTCGGGAGAGGCCCGTTGCCCCAGCAACAAAAGAGGGGGCTGCAGAAAGACGTTAGTTTCCGTTGCGGCTGTGAAACGTGACCATGCTGCATAAGGAACTCCTGACCAATCTCATCAGTGCTCTTGAGCTGCATCAGGGCATCTCTCTTCTTTTGGTCGAATAGCCCTAACTTTAGGCTCTTATTCTGGGTTTTCCCTCCGTTTCCTCCTTCTCCCCTTCACTCCTTGTATCCCCACACCATGGGACTCAATTAATGCCCATTTGCTGCTGCCCTAATCAAACCCCAGCCCAATGGTCATCCTCACCCGCTCGTCATCATATACGTCGTCAAACTACTAACACAAACAAACGGACGCGCCATGTCGTTCCAACAGCACCCACGGGTTTCCGCCTCCGCCCCTGCAGGTTTTATCACTGCCCGCCCTATATCACAAATCGCCTCGCCCTTGCTCTTGAAGCGTCTCCAACAGCAGAAAAAGAAGCTTGCCGAAGATTCGAAAGCTACCTCCCCCATATCCACAGGCGAACGGACACCGGAATGTCATAGTCCTACAACCAATAACGACCAAATGGCGCCTACCAAACCTGCACCGCCATCGGCGAGATCTAACCCAGGTCGACGTGGCGATGCTAATCGAAGGATTGAGGGAATGGGCGCTCGGGAGATGGATCAAGTTAGTTTGTCTTCATTGTGCTTTACAGAATAATAATTATTAAACGCTCTCCTGGGAGACTGGAATGCTGATCTCTATAAAATAGTATCTCTCAAAGCTCAAGAAAGAGAATTTTGATCTTAAACTCACGCTCTATCATTCGCGAGAAAAATCTGCTAAAACTGAACATGAGCTTGCTGAAGCACGCGATCAGCTTACTGGCGTTCAATCTCGGAATGCCGAACTAACGGAGCTCAACGACCAGCTTTATGCCGAGCTAGAGGCTCGTGATCAGGCATTGGGGGATGCGGTTAGGATGATAACGACTTACGAAGATCGTGTGACTGAGTTGGAGAAGTGTTTGAACGTGGGAAGAGATATTCAACGGGAGGGGGCGCAGACTGAGGTGGGACGCCGAGGTGGATCGGAGTCTTCGACGGTGCTCAATCTTGAAGAGGGTGGGAATTTTGATTGTGAGGGAAATTGTGGTGATAATAAATCTGGGATTCCAGACTACCCCACTACTGGAATATCTCCTTTCACTCACCGACCGTCGCCACGTCTGGCAACTCCTTTTCGCCCTCGTGCTCATGGGTCAGGAGGCAGGCTTGTCTCTCCTTCTTCTTCGGTTAATTCAAATCTTATCGACCTGAACACTCCGCTATCGAGTTCACAAGATACTTCAAGTTTTCTAAGATCAGCGTTTGCTTGTGTCGATACCCATACGCCTCTACGATCGAGGGCTGTATCGTCAAACATGTCCTTTATAAACAGATGTTCGTCTGTAATGAGCGATAGCCCTGGACGTTTACATACTGGTCAATCCCCGGACGACGATTCTGTTCTTGACTCACCTCGACTGAGTGAGCTGAGTGACAGTAGCTTCGCAAGCATGTATGGCGAACGGGATGGTGTTGCCTCTGAGGGATCTGGGGATGAAGGAGGAATGCTTTCAGATAACTGTGATAGCTCTATTTTCAAGGGGATACCATCCAGAATTGATATAGCGCATGGATCTGAAACGCCGAACCGGAGGGCTAGTCCGAGAAGGGAGATCATTGGGTTCAAAGTGAGGGGGCGGGAAAACGGATCATCTGCATTTGCTCGGAACGTCTTGCCCCCTACACCGGAATCAATATCCCCAAGGAAGTGTAATGGGTTTAAGCTCATCGACGACGAAGCCCTTGTCTCCCATCTCCCCCAAAGTCCGGTTTCTTCTAGTGAGGGGAAGAGCATCATGACTTCTAAATGCAGTACTTATGGCACCGATGCAAGTGATGGCAGTTTGTCGACGAGCGGAATCAATACACCCTCGACTCCACTGCCATGGGAGTACGAGGACCAGGAAGAGGGGGCAAGAGCTAATTGCGGGAATCAAAAATCATCTCCGCATAAAGGTCCCAGTTTTGCAGATATTACCAATACGCAAGGGAGACTTGGGTGTAGGGATAGGCTGAGCCGCGGAGAAGGCGTGAAGAAACCAACGGGGAAAGCTGAATCCTTGACGTTACCAAGGCATGTCAACTCGCGAATTGGTAGTGCACGAAGTGGTGTTTGTTGCGGTCGCCAAAGTGCTTCGCTCAGAGCTCCTCTTCCTCCGGTGAAGACAAATGGTACATCCACTAACGCTCCTTTAACCAATATACAAACTCCGCCTTGGACCCCTTGTACACCGGACAATGAAACGACTAAGCGCAATAGTCGAGCTCTTCCTGTGATCAAAAGAAAGGATAGTTGGGAAAGCATCGGATCCTCTCTTGGGAAGCACGATGTGAAGGGCAAGGGGAGTCGTGGGAACCGAATACCCCGGCGAAATACCATTGCTCTAGCTTCGAATATTGCCATCCCGCCGAAGAAGAAAGTTGGTACACCGGACCAAGCCTCGGCGGTCGACAAGAGAAAGTCATCGATTCCTGCTCTCGTCAGGTCGAACACTACGGGGGGCAGGGGCACGAAAGGGGCCGCCAGCAAGCCAGTCAATCAGAAGGGTCGCAGGAACGTGAACTAAGCAAGGAGGTCGGGAGGGAAGGCTGAGGGACATGTAATGATATCGTTCCGTTGTCGAAAACCTTTTGTCTTGCTCTGAAGGGGATGGGCTTTGGTACTGAGCAGAAGCAAGATCGCAGCAACGTCACGGTCCTTGTACAGCTTATGCTAGGTGTGAAGAGCATCCGAATGTCCAACGCAAACACTAGCTCAGCAAACCTTTCGTTAGGAAAAGAAAACAGAAACGCAAATAAGAGCATTGACTCTCTACACTCCTTTACTCGCATCTCTCTAACGTCCTACAAAAAACCTTCCTCTCGTTGCCGGCAATTTCATTTGTTTTGGTGCTCTCTTTTAGAAAAATCATTATTCTTAGAAAGGATCGGTCGGTTTGGTGGTTTACTTTTTCACCTTTTCAGAATTAATTGTTCTCACAGGGCGTATAACGGGTTGTCTTATGGCTTTTGTATAGTCTCAGCTATTTTGTATAGCCTTTCCCCCCTCTCTTTCTTCGTGCCCTTGACTGATCAGTCGTGCTCCTCCTCCCGCTATTAAGTTACCCGGTGTCTGTTGTTTTTCTTGTGTGGGGGTTGGACTAGATTGGCCGGGGCGTTGGGGTGGGGGTAAAGGGAGTTAGGTGGTGAAAGGGGAATGGAGAGTGCGAAAGAGAGGTGGGGGGGATTCATGCTTTTCTTTAGTATCTGCTTGATGATTATGATGATGACAACCTCCTTTGTTATTGAAATCGTTATGATGATGTTTTTCCTTTTTTCATTCTTTTTTCATTTTTATGACTTTTGATGTGGATGGGTGGGTTTTATGATGATGTGGATTGTATGGTACTGTGTGGTAACACAGCTCCTCGTCACTGGCTCGTTATACTGAGGATGCCATTTTTTGTCACTTTAGGACACAACCTACTGCCGGTCTTCAATTATTACAACATCCTGCAAGTAAGGGGGTTCGTTCGCCGCGGGCGCCTGGGTGTTTTTATGCAGATGCGGGTTGTGCGCGGAAGCCTGGGGGTCGGCGGTTTTCCAGTTGGGTGCCCCCTTC